GATTTTAGACATTACCCCAATGTGCTTAAAATTGTACATTAATGTGTGTCTGATTTGTTTCGTCTATGATAAAAGACGTATAAAGCAGTCTTACAGTTCACGTATTAAACCTGGATGTGGGAAAGAGGGGAGAGAGTGGGGGTGGCATATGTTTAAACTGAGTAAATCTAGAATTCAGCGAATACAGTTTATTGTGTGGCTGAGGAACTTACGTCATGGGCGTCGTGGAATCAAGCTCTAGAGCAGGAGTCTCAAACTCGCGGCCCGGGGGCTAATTGCCACCACCAGGATGGTATTTTTGCGGCCCCAAGTTGACATCAGAATTATGCGTTATTGCTGCCGGCATGTTTTCCACTCACGTACCTTATTGCAGAGATAATGCCGTGGATTTATATTTACTATGTATTTTATAAGTATGTATATATTTCAAACCACTATTGCCTACCGTAAAACATCATGAAAATTAGACAAGTATTACTTTTTCTTAAACTTGAAAGTTTTTTTCTCTTTGTGTGTGGACTGCATGTACTGAATGCAGCCGAGGCTCACCCAGACTCTACCCATAGCGGTTCCCGGGTAATTTTAGTTCGAGTCCCTTACTCTTAAGTGTACAAAAAATTTTGTCTCTCAGTGTAACGAGAGTTCTCTAATAAGCAGTTAACAGAGACCCTCCTCATTCTCTCATTACAGATGGACACAGCTGCAAGGCTGAGTCGGAAACAGGTTTTCTGCTTACTGGGAGATAGGGACGGAGTGTTGGAAAATATTCATGAGGTCAATTTACTCCAGCAGGATTTCCATTACGATTCTTCACGCCTTGATTATATCTTGACAGATCCTCTTCTTACAGATCTGATATGTTCGGTAAACGGATTCTGGGGCCGATTCGGACTTTGAGAAACGTCTTGCAAGTTTCCCATCTCTTGTGCTTTGCTTGGAGGATTGAGATGTTATCTTCCTCCACACATCTGATTTCTAAATCCAATCTTATCCAAAGAACCCCCGAAAACACTATTTAAACCACACTTCAAATGCTCTTCTCAACGTTTTAAAAATCACCCCTCAGTGAAAACTCTCAGAGCAGTGCTGTCTATAAAAGTAGTGTATTTAACACTTTAATCTTATTAACCTCTTTACTGCCAAGCTTGCTTTCATTTTTTAAATCGTGTTTTAAACAACCTGAGATAACTCCTAGATCCAGACAATGTAACGAGCAACACTACACTTCATTAACACACACGCACAGCTCTGCTGAATCCTTCTGCAGAATACAGATACAGCAGAATAGAGTTAACTTTTAAAAATCGGTACCTTAAGAACCGGAACATTTTTTAAAGGAAAAAAATTGCACAAAAATGTACAGAAATGAAGCAAAGAGACCCCCCCTTCAACTAAAAAAACAAAAGACAAAATAACGACAACCCTGGAGGATTATATACAGATGATATGAAACATGACTTTGAAAGATGGGAAGGAAAGCCAGTTTTGTGTGACATTGGAATTTATATTTTCCAATTCTAGTTCGAATGGGGACTATAAGAAATATAACACAATGTGGACACATTTTCCCAACGCATGATAGAAGTTATAAACAAATTAGAAGAGTGAGGTTTGATGGGAGGTAGTTAATTATGTGCTATCTAAGTCGTTACTAAAAGAAAAGTTATTCAATGAAACACGCGAATTACTAGTTAATTAGAATTTAAAAATTAAGTGAGGGTAAGATTTGAGAGCAATGGTGTTAGAAAATGGATGAGGCGTACATTACAACTCGGAGGTGAAACAATCGTGCAGCGGGTGATTAATTAATGTTGTGCTGACGTCACACGTCAGTTACTGGCTCGTCCGTTTTCCGGGGCCCGGCGCCATCTTTGTTGTGAGATCCCTCGTCATTGGCTGGCCGCCTCAGCCGTTCTTTCTCCTCACGCTCCTCCTGAAAACGGAACCAAAAGCAATATGAAATTCTTTGACCTGTTAAGACTTGTTTTATCGGCCCCACCGACACTATTTACATCATTCAGGAGGCAGGCTTCCGACTCTACCCGGGCTGAAAGGGATCAAATTAATATGTGTCACGACACGGTGGAATCAGGCGCTCGTTAATTTTCGGGCTTATGGAGTTATTGATGTTATCTTAAAACTTATTCATTTGTCTTGCTTTGGTTGAAAACAATACCCATCTATCTTAAATAGAGGTTGAGATATTTGCGATTGAAGGAGGTGGGGTCGCCCGGTTTCAGTGGTAAAATTAGTGAAAAAATGACAGCCAAAGTTCCGTAACTTCAGTAGCTTCAGAGTCCTTAGAAACTGAAATTTTTTTTCTGTGCCTTTAATAAACTTTTAAAAAGTCAAATATATATGGAAATGTGTTATTTTATGGACAGAAACGGTGTTGAGCCAAAACACAAAATTTCAAAAAAAATTTGCATAACTGGCGGAAAAGTGCCTGTTTCTTCATTTTTATTAAATTTTGACGAGCCACTGATTTCACCACGATGCCTCACACATCACAGCAGAAAGATCGAGATATTCGATGAAAATTTTCTCTCCTCTCGGGAATCAAACTCTGGACTCCTGCGTGCAACAGCGACTAATAGCTACACCACTTATGCCAGTTGGAAGCCTTCAAAGAATACAAAGGAAATGTATCTTAAAAATCGTAATACTTTTGCACTCACGCAAGTTAAATAACCTTCACAAAAAACCTATTTGCAAGTCGAGATTTGAGACAAGAGAGTGGAATGACATTCATAATGGCAAAATGATAGTAATAATAATAATAATAATAATAATGATAATAATAATAATA